CCCTTCCCTCTGCCGCCCCACCAGCCACAACTGGGACACTCACCTGGAGCTTCCTTCTAGAGCTCGTTGTATTTCTTCCCACAAGGAGCCTTACTCCTAGTTGAATATAAAGCTGTACAAATCATGCAGAAGGGAAAAATATTCCTTCCTATGATTTACTAGCAATTCCCTTTGGGTCATTCACTAGAAATTGGAATGTCCTTCATACCACTCATTCATTCTGCACTGATGAAGGGAGGTTTGACTCTCAAAAGCTTATGCCCCGAAAATCTTGTTGGTCTGTAAGGTGCTACTGGACTCAAATCTAGCTGTCAATTACATTTATCTATGAAAGTAAATATTCATTAATTTGTTTATTACATTTGTATTCCACTAAGAACTTGGGTGCCCTATATGGATTTATCTCCTTCCCAGTTTATCTGCACTGGATGCATGTGAGTTGATAGCTGAGGGAAAGTGACTAGTCCATGGACTGAGTGGGATTTTCAGCCTAGGTCTCTCCTGCCTAAACTCAGCATTCTAGCTGCTGTTCCACATTGGCTTCAGAAAAGCTGTGAAAATTTGGAATCTCTGAAAGTAAGAGCAATTCCTTACATATGATTTGGAAATTCAAAAATAGGAGGTTGCAGCTAAACCAACCCACATAGTATAGAAAGTACTTTGCTTGTGCAAGGTTGCTATTGTGACTTCTGAGGATGTCTTCTCTGAGCCGGATCTTCCTGTTGCCCTTCTTCCAGCCCTCTTTCCTGAATGTCACGTGACCCTTGCAAGTAGCTAGGGCTGGGGTGTGTGTGTGCAGGGAGCTGCACAAGGAAGAAGAAGGCTAGAAATATCCTGGCCATTAGGATTCAACCCATCAAAACCATTTCCGTCATGCTGAATGCTAATAAAATGTTTGGTACATCTTTTTAAATTCCTATTAAATTATACACCTTAATACTGCACTTGTTCTTTTCTTTAGAATTCTCTATTTAAACAGTTTGAAGAAATGGAGCAAGACACCTTGATCACACTGAATATTGAACGCTTAATAGGTACCTATGGACGTGTTACAGTGCAGTGGGTAGCCAATGGGAGCATTAGTGATATATTTCCAACTTCAGGAGTGGTATGTATTTTAACAAAACTTTCATTGCAGAATATGTCCTAAGATATAACTAGGGCTTTGTCCTAATTTCTAGTGTATCAGGGAACAAATTTTTGCCCACCCACCCCCTGAATGAAACATGACACAGGTTATGGGTTAAACTGGGAACTTTATTTACAACAAGCTGATCTGCATAACTTAGTTAACACTTTAAAGCATGGGTTGCCTCTGGCTTGCAATGCAAGCTTCCTAACTTGTCAAAACCACCCCAGCTCAGAGCCAGGTCCAGCATCCTTCTGAAACTTTCTCATCACGGCCAATGCACGAGTGCATACAGGGGATGGAGGGGCATAGTCCTGCCCCTGACGGCTAAGCCTTAAGGCTTGTTGTATGCCCCCAACCCCGAAGAGGCCTCCATTGAGCTACCCAGACTGCCAAGCCAACAGGCACCCAGTTTAAGGACCTCCCATCACTGATATCTTCAGGTGTTTACCAACTTGAAATCCCCTCAACCCGTGCTTTACCCACTGTTTCAGTTAGGGTCTAACCAGCTTAACCAGGCGTATTTATACGTCATCACCTTGGACCATGCAGAGCTGGTGAAAAAGGGCCCCCCTCCCGGCCAGTTTGAGTGGGGCCCAAGAAATTTCTGCTTGGACCCAACTTGGTGACCAGCTAATCCCACATGGACTCCGAAGAGGGAGGGAAGCAGGGTGGGAAGTTCGCGCCATGCTGGAACACGGAGGGAAGTGGTTACCGATCAACCCTGCTGGCATGCCAGCCTCCCACTGGGCAGCATTTCCTGGCTGAGCCCTGATTGGCTCCCCTTCCCCTTGTGTTCTTTGACGAGGAGGTGGGGGAGCAGGCAAATGTCGGTGCCCGCCCCACTTGGTGGGTACCAGGCATTGCTAGATTGTACATACAAGTGCTGAAAAACAGATTTACAAATTATGGGCTAACTTGTACAAATTATATCCCATTGAATTTACAGCATGAATAGTATAAAACCATCTCTTTGACTCACAGTGCAACTCTGTGAGTGGGGTAACTTTATGAATTTTAAGCATACTATTCGCTCATAGTTCCAGAGCTAGTAGAACTTATTACGTTGCACTGAAAAACCGGAAGGTTAACTAGATAATTGTGATAAGGTTTCCAATTTGGTATTCCCCATGAGACAATAAAAGCTTAATATGTGTTTTTTTTAAAGGTAGACTGCCCAAATTAATGCTGAAGACTGACTCATTCTTAGTGGGTCACATTCAACACTTATTAACAAGTAAATCGAACTGTATGTGATACTTAAAATCCATTTCTCATTTCCACTAGTGCCTATTGATATTATTTTACCATTGTTAAGCTATATTCTTATTAAGTGGGAAGCCAGTCTTATTTCCTGACTGTAGTGTGGTTCTGTTTGATTTAATTATATTTTTCTTAATTGTACAAAAATAATTTAAATATACACAGTTCATTCATGTTGCATGAAATTGTGAGGTTTTTAAAATGAAATTAGTGACACCATGGAACCAACATTAAGCACTTCTTCCAATGGGAAAGGTCAAACTCATGCTCAAAGTTTCCTCTTTGGAATCAGTGGAACTTAAAAGTACGCAAACTTGGTTGGATTAAATTGCTTTGCTGTGTACCATTTACTCTAATAATCCCGTGCTGCCCTACCACTTGCTTGAATTGTATTTTGTTCTGTATTTTCTTTCCAATATTTAGATTACATTTTCAGAAGGCCAAGCTTTGTCCACGATCACCCTAACGGTCCTTTCAGATGTCATTCCTGAAGTTGCAGAGAGGGTGATTATTACTCTCACTCAGGTCAGCACTGTGGGTATTCAAGATCCCAGAAGAGGAGCCATCATTGACCCCAAAAGAGGAAAAGCTGTACTTACCATTTTGCCTAATGACTCACCTCATGGCATAGTAGGATGGCACATGGACTCTCTGTCTGTAAAAGTAGCAGAGCCTGAAGGTGAGTAGCTTCTGTTGCCTTGTGAGAGGGAAAATACATATGCACAGATACTTCCAGATCTCTTTCTAGCAATAATTTGTGGACCTTAATGTAATTAAAAAAAAAAAAACACTCAGAGATGCCATGTTATGTCGGTGAATTCTGTGTAAAGAGAAAAATTGGAATATGTGTTCACCCTTTATTACTAGTACGGCATGCATGCATTTTGTACTTGGGCACCTGAGAAGTGCCTCTTTAAGCATTTCATGCTCTGTACATGAGCCATCTGAGAGCCAGTGTGGAATAGTGGTTAAGAGTGCTGGACTAGTATCTGGGGGACTTGGGTGTGAATCCCTGCTTTTGCTGTGGAAGCGTGCTGGGTGACCTTGGGCCAGAGTCATACTCTCTCAGACTAACCTACCTCGCAGGGTTGTTGTGAGGATGAAACGGAGGAGAGGAGAATGGTGTAAGCTGCTTTAGGTCCCCTTTGGGGAGAAAGCTGGGGTGCAAATGAAGTTAATTAATAAATATGATGCACTTTGCTCAGTCTTTAAATTTGACTCTGATGCATTTCCGTCTTAGTTATATGAATACAAATATAGTGTGATTTCCAATTGTTTATGCATGAGGGTTTCACACTTCTTTGTTGCCTTATATGAAGTTTTGCTAGAACGTAGGCTACCTCAAGATATAAACTCACTAGGGGCCTTAGGCAAACTATTATTTTTTCAACCTCTGCGTTCATCTGCAATGTGGAGAACATAGTCTTGGCCTGCTTCTTGGAGGTTGTTGAGATAATGTGTGTGTGTGCGCGTGCACAAAGTGTTTGAAGAATCAAAAACAATATGTTAAATAATCAAACGTATTGGAGGATGCTTCTTATTTATTTGTTTGATATATAATTTTAACAGTAATTTTTGAGTTATTTATTTGAATGATTTATATCCTGCCTTTTTGCTCTCATCAGGGCCACCAAAGCAGCTAAGAGATTAAAAATGTTGTATAGATTCTTCCCCCAAGCCTGTCCAGGAATGAGGGAGGAACCTATATTTTTACAATACATTAAACAACAACCCAGAGAGTATGCTATCCTCTCTGGATTTCAGAACAACAGCCACCAGGATCTCTACACGTATTCCCTCTCCAGCCTGAGATTAGGTAAAGGTAAAGGTTCCCTTGCTCGAAAGCCAGTCGAATCCGACTCTAGGGTTGCGGTGCTCATCTCCGTTTCAAAGCCGAAGAGCCAGCGCTGTCCGACAAGAAATCTATGGCTCTTGGCCCTCACTGAACATTAAAGAGATATGCATAGTTACCAGGATGATCCATAGTCAAGAATGTCCAAGTATACAGTCCAATTAGATCCCAAGGGATCCTCAGCAGAAACTCCATCTTTGTGCAAGCATGCAGCCATGTGCTCAGCTCACAATGGAGGTCTTTGTTCCACATGGGACAGCATTTCCCAGGTGCAATTCAACCAGGTAGAGAGAGCAAGAAAAATCTGAGCTCTTTTCCAAGGGGTCAGACAACTAAAAACCCCAGTCTAGTCACAATCAGCTGTGGCCATCAGCCTATCACGAGTAGGAAGGGTGTGTTCAAATTTTAGTTGTCATAGTAGCTTTGCGGGGATAGGTTGGAAGTCTGGAAACCACACCCGCGGTCACATGATTCCCAAACCCCAAACTTCATTCTGTATGTGACTGTTTGCATTAGGCAGCTGCCAGGCTCCATCAGGTCTGGCTTTCCCCACTAGAGGTGTGAACGAATGTGTTTTTATGACATGACAATTGAGCTTCTCTGACCAAATGCTCAAGCCATTTGGCTGGCAACAGGAAACATGGGATCAGAAAGACGTCCCCGGGGAAGGCATGAAACCTTTAGAAATCAATATTTCTATACAAATGTACATAATAAATACCATTGTAATCCATGAAAATACACATATATTATTCAAAAAATTAAAAACAAAATTAAAATACATTACAAAAACATAAAAACAATAATTAAAACTTAGGGCAGGAAGGTGGGATCAGAGAGGGAACACCAAATGAAACAAAAGTCTTTACCCTTTGGTGGAAGATGGCAGCAGAAGGGGAGAGACGAGTCTACTTGTGGACAGAGTTATAGAGTTTTGGTGCCACGACAGAAAATGTTCTCTCACGGATTGCCACCTGCCTAATCTCAGAAGGCGGGCCCACCTGAAGCAGACCTTGAAAGGTGAATGAAGGTTGCAGTTCTAAAGACTCTTTCCTGTCCGTAAGCCCCACTGAATAAAATAGGATTTACTTACAGGATTACTCTTGAAATACAATAATAGCATTGGGATGGCAGAGAAGACTGATGGTCAGTGTAAAACAAAAAGAAAGGATGCAACCGTTGTTAAAAAGTATGTGGTACAGACTGTTTCTTGCACCTTACTAAATAATCTTCAACCTCTGTGTTTGTGTAGTGGTTAAGAGTGCGGACTCTGATCTGTTTGATTCCCCACTCCTCCACGTGAAGCTGCTGGTGTGACCTTGGGCCAGTCATAAGTTCTTTCAGAGCTGTTCTCTCAAGAGTAGTTCTTGAAGGAGCTCTCTCAGCTCCATCTACCTCACAGGGTGTCAGTTGTGGGGAGGCGAAGGGAAAGGAGATTTTAAACTGCTCTGAGACTTTGAGTAAAGGGCAGGGTATAAATCCTATCTCTTCTTCTTCTTTGAAATTCTTGAGGGATTCATATAGCTTTGAAGTATTCTGAAATGCATTTAGCCTCACATTGCAGCCAAAAAGTACTCTGATTGTTTCAGGAATTTGATAACATAACAAACAGAGTATACTAACAGAGTACACTAAAGCAGAAGAAACTAAATCAAGAAACCATATATTGGATAGCTTTATTACAAATTTATTCTTCAATCTTTCAGAGAAATCAACAATTGTCACATTACATATTCTCCGAGAACAAGGATTTGTTGGTGATATCAGTGTGCAGTTGATACCCAAGCCTATTTTTTCACTCCCTTTTGTCAATCAAGCCATGGAAAATGAGGATTATAGGTTAGAAAGTAAAACTGTTATTGTGGCAGCGAACACGACTATGGCTTCTGTCACTTTAGCCATTCTGCCGGTGAGTATTTGAAATAATGTGTTCAAGTTCCTAGCAATCCTATAATTGACTGTCTTATGGACAATACAGATACTTTCTAGTTAATGTGAATGACTGTGTAAAAAATGGGGAAACTCTTCTTAGTTACAAATGTTATCAGAATATGTTTAGCCTAATCCAGCAATGTCTCCCAAACACTAGAATTCAGATCAGCACCAAGAGCCCAATCTGGATCCAGCAGGACCAGAACGTGTTTCAGACAGAAATACATGAGTCTTGGGCAAGACTACAAGGTTCAGTCATGCATTGACCAATTGATGACTTCAGACAAGCAGTCAATCCTCCTAGTAGAAAATATTTCTCCTTTTACAGTGAAGAGAAAAGCATTGCTTCTGTCCCTGAACAGTTTATAGATGAGAGACTACAACTGAACCTCTTCTCCTCTCCCTTTTGCAACTTCACCGTGCAGCTATTTTGCTAAGTGTGGGCTGGGTCAGATTCCCAACTGATGCCACAATCAGCTGAGAGTTGGCTTCTGCCCAACAGCCAGCTGCAAACTTGTCTGGCACCTATGCAAGTTGCTTCATGCAGTCTGAACATATCCTTGAACAGGGTAAGTTTGACTGCAAGCAGAGTCTCTGAGAAATTCATGGCATCTCTAGTTAAAACATTATTTTTTTACCTCTGCTTTTGATTGCTTTCCCCCCTTAAATGTTTCTGTATGCATGTTTGAGTGGGTTTTCTGTGCTCCTCTACCCCCCCATGTCTTTGCTTTAATTTTTGGTGCTGACTTAACTGTTTCGTGTGTTGTCTTTAATGGATGTTTAATTAATTTTATTTTGGTGTCTTAATGGCATTTGTTTTATTCTAATTTGCCTTGCAATCCTTTTCTGAAATGGTAGGATCAGAGTATTTTTTAAATTGTCTAGGGTGGGTGTTGCACAATGTTCCCTCTAATTTTTGCCCCCATTGAGCAGAGCAGTTCACATCGTGAGCAGAATATAACTGCTGTAATCTTAAAATGGGCAATGGACAGTGCAAGACCCAGCACAGCTCCAGATTGCTGCTGAGCGGGAGGGGCTTCCTGTGCTAATGAGTGGCTGAATGCACACAGTTTAGAGGGAACACTGGTGTTGCCCTAAGATCACTTGGTAGGTTTAGCCGTAGTAATCATGCGTATTCGCAATCCTTGATGCAACTTGTCAGAGCAAGCAAGTTTGGTGCATTAAACCAGTGATAAGAATGCCAAGCTAAGCCTGCAGAATATAACTGCTGTAATCTTAAAATGGGCAATGGACAGTGCAAGACCCAGCACAGCTCCAGATTGCTGCTGAGTGGGAGGGGCTTCCTGTGCTAATGAGTGGCTGAATGCACACAGTTTAGAGGGAACACTGGTGCTGCCCTAAGATCACTTGGTAGGTTTAGGCATAGTAATCATGCGTATTTGCAATACTTGATGCAACTTGTCAGAGCAAGCAACTAGTTTGGTGCATTAAGCCAGTGATAAGAATGCCAAGCTAAGCCTGGGGAGACTCATGCTCAAATCAGCACTCTGTCGTGAAGTTTGCTGAGTGTCCTTGGGCCAGTCACTCTCCTCTCACTCTCAGACTAACTGACCTCACAAGGTTGTGAAAAATGAAGGCAGGGACAAATACTTACGTTGCTCTGAGCTGCTTGGAGGAATGGTCTGGTGTGATACGAATGTGATAGACTGATGGATTAAGAGAACCACACGGAGAGATTCTCCTGAGTTCATGGTGTGAAGCCAACTCAGCACAAAACAAGGACAGGATACAAGGACAATGTAAATGGTTAAAGGACAAACAGGGTCTTGAGAGTAAGCTTATAATGTTCAAGTGAATAGGAGTAGAATGAAAATAACTACAATTTAGCATGTTTCCTTCATGGAAGATCAATTGTAAAGGATGATAAAGGAGGTGTTTTTCAAGAAGGAATTAGTCTACTCTTGATTGGCAAAGCATTGCATGTCACCAACAGGGCAGAGGTAACATATATATATACTGAATAACAGAACAAGTTTAATATGCAGCATATCTCATATTTTCTTTCACACTTTCTTCCTAGCAACTAACCCCCCTACCTATATGTAACGTTTGAGGAATCTGTTTCAATGGATCTGAAGGAGTGTGCATCTACACATGCTTTCAGTTCTTGCTTATACCCAGAATTGAACTTCGTTGGTCTTGAAGGTGCCACTGGCCTCAAAACTTCATTCTCACATCTGTTTGTTAACTCTTGTATTTGCAGAGGTCATTTCCTGCAGGAGCGCACAGGAGCGAAGCTCCGGCAGTGAAGAGCCCAGGGGGCGGGCACATGCAACAAGCCCCACCCCCTGCTCCCAGCAGCCCTCAGTCAGAGCAAGAAGCAGCCAGGTAAGCTGCAGAGCCCCCCCCCGGCCCCCCGGCCCAAAACAGTCCAGTGACACTTTTAAGACCAAGTCTTATTCAGGTACAAGCTCTCCCTCCTCTGCGAGGACAGATCTGCACATCCCCCCCCCCCAATAGCTAGCAATCCAAATCCCAGAGCCAGTCAGAACACAGAGGTTATTTGCATATGCAGCCTCATTGGCCTCTGCCTCGGAACACAGAGGTCGTTTGCATATGCGACTTGATTGGCTTTTGCCTCTAACATTCTAAACAGTTTTGCTGTTCTGAGGTAAAATGTGTCCAATCTCCAGGTGAGGGCTGGAGATCACTCAGAATTACAACTGCTTTCCAGATGGCAGAGATCAGTTCCCCTGGAGAAAATGGTGGGCTCTGTATCATTATATGCTGCTGAGGTGGCCCCCATATGACAGCCAATGTGACGTAGCAGTCAGGGCT